CCATCATCTTTCTCAGCTTCCATCTAGTCATCCTTCACTCCCAGCCATTTGCAAAACAGCTGGAAGACATCAGCTTCAATTTGTGTGAGTTCCTCTTTGGAACGAATAATGGTAAACTGCCACTGGTTGCCCTCTTTCAGTGGGTGCCGCTGCATTTCTTTTTGGTTTTTTAATACCGTTGAATGATGGACGGGGGTAGACAAAATACAGGAATATGGAAGGAGCTGAAGGAAAAAGGAAAAAAATGCAAACAACAAATATGGTACATATATACAAAAATTATATAAAGGCAAAATACAGAAAACATGACAAAAAATCAAAAACGCTGGTCAACACTGAGGCTGGGACCTCTGGGCAGTGGGCAGGGTCACTACAGTATTATATATACTCCCTGGCATCTTTCTCCACCCTTTCTTGTATTCCACCTATTTTGATATAGCCAACATTCATTTTTATTTACCTTCCATTTTTGCCTTCCTTATCTAACTTTCCATTTATTTTCCTGCAGTAAGATAGCTAAGGCAACATTAAACATTTTCCCTGTCAAGCTTCATTTAATCTGACCCACTACACACACAAAACTTGGGCTGGGTGATGAAATACCTAACAATTATCTGTTCAGGGTGATGAATATGGACTCCAGCCCTTGCAAGCTCTCCTGTGTATGTGGATGATACAGATTATAGTGGGCCAAGAGCCCAGAGGTCCTCTACTGTGTCTTGGACTTCCGTGACTGGAACCTAGCTTGGATGATAGAGTGCTGCTCCTTGCCAGAACTTCAGTTGAATAAAAGTGTGTTGAGAACACGTTATTAAATGCACATTAAAGTGAAATAACTTAGAAATGGGAAAATTGACCCATTATCTACTTAGGAGGGCGCAGAGGTCTGCTAAAGAGATTAAGGTTGGCTTAGTCTCAGAAGCAATTGGACACATACCTGAGAGGACAGAGTAGTATGATATAATGACCCATGACACCTTCATGGCCTAAAACCGTCTAATCCCTGACACTGTCCTGGTTTAGGGTGATACTCCATACTGTCTGAAACACATGTGGCCTGACAGAATATAAATCAACTGACTACAGTGAAACAGGGAGGTCTGTGGAAAGCTTGCTACACAGTCCGGGTCAAAGCAAAGATGATTGCCTCAGTGCCTCTCTAGCCTGTACTGGCCTAGGAGCCAGCTAAGGTGATTTTAAAATCTGGCAAATCAGAACCAACATCTTTTATCATATCAGTGTTGAGAGAACTAATTGCTAATGATGGGGTTCAACATGGGCACTAGGCCCAGAAGGTCCATCTCCATTTTACTGTCTGGTTCAATCAGGGAAGGAGGCACTTACAGAATGTCTAGGCAGGCACGTAGCACAGACTTGAAAAGACACATGAACACAGTGTGGTCCACAGGATGCCACATGGAGTGTTCGAACGCTGGTTCATTATCTCCTCAGACTGAGACAGGGAGAACTGTCTCCTGCTACGTGGTCTCTTCCATGCAGAACAAGACCTCAGGCACGTACATAATGGACACTTACAGCAGAGCTGCTGACTCCATCACAGATGTATGTGATCAAGGCAAAGCAATACAAGGGAAAATAAGGATTTAGATATTGAAAACAAGGCCGCTCATGGGAAAAAATTTGTATGTGGGGCATGGAAAAAAATAGAAATCTTTAGTCACTGCTTCAGTTTCACAATGTTGCAGTATGTGTTTTCATAATTTCAGAAACCAGAGCTAAATTATCCCATTTTGACTGGAACCTGACGTGGGGAGAGATCACCATAAGGATGCAGTGGAACATCGCCCAGTGGTAATGTTTCTGTGAATTGATTCAGACACTGTAGGCTGAGAGAAAATGACTGACGGACTGACTGAACTCCTCTGCTCTATGAGTCAGAGCTGGGCCAGCCCATGACCTGTACAACTTGTCTGTCTAGTCTGTGGTCATCAACCACAGCTGTCTGGAAAGACCATGACGCTGAGGTGACAATCCAAAAAATTACCCATATGAGCAAAAGTGGGAAAAGTGTTAGAGATACTGGTGGTAAAAGTGTGTGTAGATTCAAACAAACAAGCAGGGGCAACACAGCGACCTAGTGGATAGAGAGACTGCCATGAACTAGAGGGCACCAGGTGCCAAATAATTTAGACAAGACACTGTCACCAAACCCATTCCTGTTTGCATACTTAAAGCTTAGCAAAAACCTGCATGCACTTCTGTATACGAGTTTCCATGTACTCTACCTGCTTTTGTAGTGGTTGATGTTGAAGCTGCCGACTTTACATTTGATCTTTGTATAAACATCCTGGACATCTACAGAGGCACTCAGGTCTTCCAGTTCAGTAATGACACAGATCTCTATCAGAAACATAAAAAATAAGCACACAACAATGTTTTCGTACATTTTAAGATCATGAAGAGTGGAAAGACGTGTATTCATTTGTGTATTGTCCTTGGTTTGCAAAAACCCTCTGCAGTTGTTTTAGTATGATGTATGGCCTCCCTGTAATTGGCAAACAGGTACAATACATACTTGAACTTCAGAGGGGGAGGTGTCATACTAGTTACAGTATGTTAATTTCATTACTGTGGGAAAGGATCTTTACTGTAGCTAACACTTTGTGAAATTTAGACATTTAATTCAAGATATGAAAGGTCTAAAATTCAACCCGCATAAAATCAGAAATATGGCTTTCACAATCTAATATTTCTAATCTATAAATTCAGTGGTGTTTAAATACCAATAATTATTAAGCAGTGATTCATTTCAAAATCTGTTATTTAGTTAATATTTAAATGATTAAAGCAATATATTTGAAGCTGGAGCAGTATTAGGCTGATTACACCTCTTCCTAACACACCAACATATATACACACACACACACACACACACACAGTGAATGAATGAATCCATCATACCCGGTGTGTATGGATGGGTATGCCAGGCTACAGGTTCTCAAACAAGTCCTACTGAAATCCTTCTGAAAGAAGTTAAAGCATCTTTTTTGATTCATATAAATAAGGATAATCACCTTTATTGGCCAAGTATGTTACACACAAGGAATTTGTTTCCGGTACAGAACCGATGGTAGCCATCTGCGGCGCCACCTCAACCGATGGCTCTAACCATCGGGGCAACAGGGGGGTTCATTGTCTTGCCCAAGGACACTTGGACACGTGGACGAACCTTCAACCTTCTGGTTGGGAGACAACTGCTCTACCCACCCACATAGGGTGCTTTCCAACTGCACCCAGAACTCTCAGCCTGTCATAATAAGGAGAGTGTGTGCACCCTATGTACACTACCATTCAAAAGGGTTAGGGTAGATGCAATTCCTACAGGTGCCCCAATGTCTCATTACTTAGAACACATTCTATCTGTACCAAAAGAGTGCAGGAGAAGGCTGTGTTACTGCACTCTCTGAAGTATTTGGATTAAGGCCATTAACAAAGGAAGTCAGACCATTTAATATTTACAAAAAAAAAAAGGTGACCCCCAACCTTTTTAACAGTAGTGGACATTTACACAATACTGAATATTTGTGAAGACCCTTCCGTGTGTATTCATAAAACCATGTGTGTGCATCTCTGTGCACCTTGTGTGCACCCACTACAGGCAAAGTGAGTAAGCTCTACAGCACAAATAATTAAGTTTGTACTGAACCAAGCCTGTGAGTTTAACTTTTGGTTCTCTCTTGTTGTTTCCACTGAGAAAATCCCACAATCCCAGGCTAGCTTGGGAAAATGGACTTCATGTATTTGGAACTATGGTTGTTGTTGTACTGTTGACTTGTGGAGACTCTGAGAAGGGCAGAAGTTCCTAATGGCTTATTAATACTGAATCACAAGGCTTGTCAGCTTTATTTTGGACACTATGTGGAAAGACTCTGCCATGTTGTCAATATTAATGTACAAGTTTTATAAACCCACCCTGTAAGGGTACTGGAAACCCTTAGTCCCTTCATATTAAATTGATCATTCAAAAGTAAGTAAAGTGTACCACTGGTTTGTTCCTGTAGCGGGGCCACTGAAGGATCATGCTTGAAATTTGACCTCTAGTCTTCCAAAGCATAACAGCATTACATTTTACCCAAGAACAAATAAGTCTGCAATGGCTGTTTTATCATTTTCTTGAACAACTACATTACTTCCTTTGCAGTTGAAAAACATATTACTGTACATCACAGCAGATTATCTGCTGTCATATCTGTGGCTCGCTTAACTCCAAGAATGCATTTATGATATTAGAAATCTGATACAGTACATAGACACCATTCTTGTTTTCAATAACATGCTTAATGTGGTGCATACAAAAAATCCAGTGGTAAGTTCATCTTGCAACTCAGATGGCACATATTAAGCCCAAATCCAAAGAAATGATTATTTAGGATATCTCTAAGTCAAACCATCTCTGTGAAGTCCTCCAAAACATTCTGTTTCCACTATTAAAGATGCTAAGCTGCGCAATCTGGTTGGCAGATGCTAAATATTGCAGCCACCAATTAAAGGTAAATCCAGCCTTTCATCACTCCAGCAAATCTAAAGGGACAAGAGGCGGTTCGCTTGGGATTCATCACCCATTTATTTATTTTTATTGTCTTTTCCCCACATTCCTTCTTCTCTGCAGCTGCCTTTCCCTTCCGAGTGATCAATATTTCAATGACGAAAGAGTTGGGAGCTACTTTGAGAGTAAATACAGCAAGACTGTAGAAACTCCAAACAGCTTCCTACATTCTCTCACACAACACAAAGACAATTTCAAATTAGAATGTCCTGCTAGTCCCACTGCTGACACTTTTCTCTACTGTCTTATAACACAGATTCTTCAACTCAAATGTGATTTCATATATAGTGAATTCTTTGTTAATCCGACATAGTCGGTGCTGATAATATCTACCTAATTCTTCTAAAATTATTCTATCCTTCTAGTGCTTTCCAGGAACATAAAGGACAGAGATTTACTACAAGTCATGTTTAGAGCAGCTAATTTTTAACTAATGGAGTATATGTATACTGATATCTAGAAAGGATGTCAAGGCACAGCTGGGGAGAGGAGTGTGTTTGGTTTTGGGACCACAGAATCGCTTCTCTGCATTTTACGGATGATGTGGCTCTGTTGGCTTCATTAGACCATGATCTTCAGCATGTACTGAGGCACTCTGCAGCCGAGTGTGAAGCAGCTGAGATGAACAGTCAGGTTCAGCCCTCTTCTATGGTTGTGAGCTTGGGGTAGCGACAGCAAAAAATGAGATCACAAATACAAATGGCCAAAATGAGTTTCCTCCATAAGCTTGGCTGGGCTCAGCCTCAGAGATAGTGTGCAGAGTTTTGGACATTCGGAAGGAACTCAAGGTAGCTGCTCCTTCATGCTCAAAGGTGCTAGTTGAGGTGGTTCTGGCATATGATTATGATGTGTCAGGGCGCCTTCTAGTGGAGGCTTTTCACACATGTCCGTGGTACTAGTAGGAAACGGTGGAGACCGGAGTAGACACAGGATATGCTACAATATGGATTAGGTTGTATATTTCTGTCCGAACCTGACCCAAGCCTGAGAGTGTGGTGGCCAAACTCAAAAAGCATACTGTATTTTATGTCTGAACCTGACCCGAGCCCAACACAGTTAGGTTTGTGCACTGTTTTTGTAGTATGGCCCTTGTGCGCTTAATATCATGGATAGCGTCACGCACTTACCCGGAAACAACAGAGCCACTATAGACTCATCACTTTATTTTTTTTAACAGCGACCTAAATTTGACTAAAGAAGAAGCATAAATTCATGTAGGCCGTTTTATAGTTCCATCTTATCTAGCCTGTGAACTCCTTGAGGTCCCCCCAGGTGGAGATGAGAAACGCTGCTGGGAAGAAGGATGTCTGGACTACCCTGCTGACCCTGCTGCTACCATGACCTGACACCGGATACATTAGAAGTCTAAAGTTTATTACCAATCAGCATTAGAGAAACAAAACAAGACTGGAACAGAAAATATACCAAAAGAGCAACAAGGTTTATAACAAGGTTAAGGTACCTGTCTTTTTGGCAGCTGGCTTGGGAGCAAAGAGTTTAACAGCAACCTTGGGTAACATCCACTGCATCCAAAGGCTGACCTTCCCACTAGTCCCACCAATGCTGTTAGTTTTCTGCTCCAAGGTCACTGTGTCAGCAAACGGACTGTCATCTGCAGCAGGCACAGAGTCACCCTACGGAAATGAAACATGTTCTGATCAGTTTAACTATTAAAATTAGTTACATATACATAGAACTGAAGTACTGTATATGAGGGATTAACACCTTGCATTTAGCAAGTTAGCAAGATTTGAAAAATAAGTCAAACAACCTTCAACCACAACAAAGCATTGTCACTTTCGGCTTTTCCCGTTTAGGGGTCGCCACAACGAATCATCACACTGACGACTCGCATGTTGACATTTGGCACGTGTTTTACGCCGGATGCCCTTCCTGACGCAACCCTGACTCGAACCCGGGCCTCAGCAGTGAGAGTGCTGTGCCTTAAGCGCTAGCCTAACAGGGACGGCTAACCACAATAAAGCATTGTATTTTATGTAAAATCACACAATTCAAAATTCACCGTAAAATTGGATCCTCTGTCTTTCATCAGTTAGCTTCTCATTTTATCTTACATGCATGTCTAACCATGTGTTTGGTGAATGTGTGTACAACTGTAACAGTAACCAGTAGCTATGGAGCCTTTTGAAGTTTAGATGAGTGTCTAACGAGCAGAACTCATCTCAGAGCTGAGCAGTGTAGTAGTGGTGGTTGTGAGGATGGTCAGTTGTGTTAACCCCAGACTAATTCACCAGCACCCACATAGCCTGCTCTCTCTCTCGAGTGTACCAGGACTCATACTTCTTGATGCCAGGGAGAGAAATGGAAGTGAAAAGTGAAGGGGGAGGTGAGGGGGAGAGGCAAGCAGGATGCAGCTGAGGAGGCTGCCTCTACCAGCTCTCATCTTTGCATGTTGGGTTTGGAGAAGCACTGGCGATCACACCACAGGGGCCATTATCTAAAAAATTTCTCTGACTTTCTTCCTGGTAAATCTGTTGTCCACACATATACAGTGGCTTCAGAAAGTACTCAGCCCCTTCACTTTCTGCATACTTTGTGTTGTAGAATTAATACAGAATAAATAAAGTAAATTATCATTTTTGTCCATAAATCTACTCCCAATAACCCATAATGAAGAAGTGAAAACATGCTTTTGTGAGGGCTTCAATATGTATAAAAAAAATCCAAAATTGAAATCTTTCATTTACAAAAGTATCCTGGCCCTTAATTCAGTACTTTGTAAAAGCCCCTTTGGCAGCAGTTACAGCTTCCAATCTTGTTGGGTAAGTCTGTACAAGCTTTAAACATATTTTTCTGGCAGATCCTCCCAAGCGCTATCTATCTGGAATGGCTTTTCAGGTAAATCTACTGTACAATTCTCTGGGGCTTAAGGCTGGGCTTTGACTGGGTTATCCTTCTGGTACTGCAGTGGACTCCTGAAGCTTTGTTAGAGTGACTGTCGGGTTCCTGGTCACCTCCCTGACCAAGGCTCTTCTTATCCAGTTACTCAGTTTGGTCAGACAACCAACTTTAGGAAGAGTTCTGGTGGCTCCAGGCCTCTTTCATTTCAGATTCAGCTTTATTGGCCAGGTGTGTAAGACACACAAGGAGTCTGACTCTGGTACAGCGGCTCCCAATGTGTACATACATGCCAATGAGCAAGGGAATTTGCATTAGGAAAAGAGATTGAAAAAAAAAATAAGAATAAAATAAATATAGAGACCTGTACATATATATATATATATATATACTGTATATACACATGTATATTCACACACACAGTATGGATTCAGCTGATCTATATGTACAATGTATATTTACAGGTATTGCACTGAGGGTTATTGTCCAGTCATACTGTCGTTGGTTAAGTGTTCATCAGAGCGACAGCCTGGGGGAAGAAACTGTCCCTGTGCCTGGTTGTCTTAGTGCACAGTGACCTGTAACGCCGTCCAGAGGGGAGGAGTTCAAACAGATTCTGCTGAAGTCTGTACTTGTCCTGTTTGGTTGCTGAGCCAAACCAGACAGTGATGGAGGTGCAGAGAACAGACTCAATGATTCCTCTGTAGAACTGAATCAGCAGCTCCTGAGGCAGGTCGAACTGGCACAGGAAGTACATCCTCTGCTGTGCTTTCTTGGTGATGGTCCTGATGTTGGACATCCACTTCAGGTCCTGGGAGACAGTGGAACCCAGGAACTGGTAGGACTTTACTGCTGATACAGTACTGCCAAGTATGGTGAGGGGTGGGGGGTGGGGGTCGAGATGCAGTCGTTGGTGTAGAGTGAAAACAGCAGAGGGGAGAGCATACAACCCTGGGGGGCACCTGTGCTTATTGTCCGGGTGCAGGATGTGGTTTTCCCCAGCCTCGCCTGCCTCTTCCTGTCTGTCAGAAAGCTAATATTCCCACTAACAGGTGGGGGCAGGCACAGTGAGCTGGGTCAGTTTGGAGTGGAGGATGTCCAGGATGATGGTGTTGAACGCTGAGCTGAAGTCCACAAAGAGGGCCCGTGCATAGGTCCCTGGGGAGTCGAAGTGTTGCAGGATGTAATGCAGTGTCATGTTGACTGCATCGTCCACTGACCTGTTTGCCCAGTAGGTGAACTGCAGGGGGTCTAGCAGGGGGTCTACGATGCCCCTCATGTGGGCCAACACCAATCTTTCAAAGGACTTCATAACTACAGATGTATGCCAAAACCACCTCACCGGCGCTTCCTCTGGATCCCGTAGATTGCAGCTGTGGCGCCGACCAGAATGTCCACACAGCATTCTTCATTCAAGGAAGTCAGAGAAAGGTGGTTTGGTGTGAGTTGTCCTTTGTTTAGTAGTTCTTCTCTGGTGAAAGTAATCCGGGATGGGTTGCAAACAACCGAGAAAACAAAGAAAAACTAACACAAGAGAGCGTGAGTACAACAAGGCAGCCATAGTTAGTTAGTTTCACAAGTAATGAGGAAACTGTGTTGGTGGGAACATTTTAGAAATGGTTTTATACCCTTCCCTGATCTATGTCTCAGCACAATTATATCACAGAGGTCTATAGAGAGTTCCTTGGAAGTCATGATTTGGTTTTTCTCCTGACATAAAGTGTGAAGTGAGTGCATTTATAAACTATATCCAGTTAATTACGTTTTACCACAGGTGAGCACAAATCAAGTTGTAAACATACTGTAAGGAAAATTAAAGCACACAGGATGAACTGATCACAGTACAGAATGCCATAGCACAGGGTCTGAATACTTTTGTAAATGAAATGCTTCAGTTTCTCTGGTTTGTAAATAAAAAAGAAAGAAAAAGAAAGTAAAAATATGTGCCTGGCTGGTACAGAAAGTGCAAAACCAGCAAACAAACATTATGGCAATTTGCAGCTCTGGTATTAGAGGATTTCTCTTTTTCCACAGCTTCACCCATCACAGTGTGGTAATGATAGAGTGTACTATGGTTACTGAGCCTGGCAGTGGTTGTGAGGAGGCTATCAGCCACCTCAATTAAAATGCACACAGCTGCTAGGCTGATTACAGTGTCTTAAAGAGGATCCAGATGAGGAAATGGGGTCCCCTTTCTACAGCCAGGGAGAGGGATGAGGGGCTCACACTAATTTGCAAATTTAATTTAACTGCTTATCTGAGAGTGGCTGAAAGCAGAGCTCAATAACTATGAGTGACAGTACAATAAATAAATTAAGGACTATGCCGATAAAAAATAGATTCAACATTACATGGGGACCACTACACTGATGAAAAGCATTCACCAGCTCTCTGAAGTGGAAAAGTAATGAGGTTTTTACTCTGTTTAGGTTGCTTTTTTTTAATTTAAGAAGTCAAATAAATCACATACAGTAGAAAATAAAAGACTAACCAAAAATAAAAGCATGAACTTTGGACACTGAAAGCTCTGCCGACAGAGTTTGAGTTTGAGTCTGTCATACAAGTTTTGTCAAATGGCTATATCTATATACAGTATATAACAAAATATATTTACGGTATATCCAAATAGCAACCCTGAATCTTCATTCCCTGAGAACTAGCATTTAGTGTCTGGTTTCATGGAAACACATGACACTCCTAAACAGTCAAGGTGTGTGTGTAGTAACTGTGACTGGCAGTAAGAAATATGAGCCTAGTAGTAATGGTGTTCAGTCAGTTTCAATGAGAGATATTCTAGTGTCAACTGCTATTTGGGGACTAAATATGTTGAGCTGAAGTCAAAACATAGCACTGTGTGTGTGTGTGTGTGTGTGTGTGTGTGTGCACATGTGTGTGGTTAGGCCTGTTTAGTTTACAGTTCTGGACACTGGGTAGGATTAGTCTCTGTAATGTGTGGAAACAGGAGCCAGGCGCTGTGGGAAGCTCAGACCACTGTGTACTGTAGCGTGGTTACACTGAAGCATTGGACATCCGACTGCTCCAATTTCGCTAGCCAGAACTACTGTTGTCATTTTCAATTCTCCATCTCATACAAGCTGATTTTAACACAGAAAGAAGAACAAGCTTATTGAAAAACCGACATCCTTGAATTTTCTGGAAATACACAATATTTTTAAAAACCTTTAAAAATTGACTGCCAAATGCTACTTGTTCGAAAACAGACCACTTTCTGGGTGTGCCAGCTGAGAGATATCGTCATGTGATAGCTTCTGCTTTACTCAAGCAGGAACTGCTCACACTGGCTTCCACAATGCATGGGTTACTGCGCTGAAGTGGCAGTCTGGTGTGACAATGAGATTCTTCTGTCATTGCTATATGTGGCTGCAATTCAATATTCGAATGTTAAGACAGTGAAAGCTACAGAGTAAACAAACCTTAAGAGTATTGTTCAACAGAAGTATAAGCAACACTAAGCTGCAACTACCTCATATTTCTTATTTCTGTCACAGTGTGAACACTAACATTTACTGCCTGATGCATCCCAGTTGCTTTCTTTCATTTATCCAGTTAATTACAAAATTCATTGGTAGAGTCACTGGTTGGCTCCTCATCTCATCAATAAGTACAGTGACCTGGCTCATGATCAGCAGAGCTAAGTTTCAGACTGTATCAGACTATATTTGAAACTGGTAGTCAGAGAAGTTGAGCTATGTACTAGCAGCCACTAGACTGCGGTTGGTGTCGAGACATCCCCCCCCCCCCCCGAGTGGTGGTGTTGGTAGAGGTGAGATCTGCCACATTCCTTAGTTGCCAGACTGGGGCCCCAAACACACACACACCCACACATTCTAAGACGGAGCTATTTTCCCACACGTCCACAGGCCAAGTTGTAAAGTATACAGTTTAATTCCTGGGCCTCTGCGCTGTAAACGGGCTGAGGATCCAGGTTTATTTTCTCTGCAGAGTTTGTATTTGCTCATCAGAGAGGCCCAAACATTGGAGGACAACAGCAGGCTGGGAAGTGACTAAGAAAAATGGAAGAAAAGTCAAATTATGAAAGAGGAGTAGAAAGAGACAATGGGTTATAGACAGGTGGGACAATGGATCAAATGTAGGTGAGTGTAAAGAAAGGCTTTAGTGAAAGGAAAAATGAAGGAAGAAAGAAGTGAGAGGTGGGATCACACTGCAGAGAGAGCTGTATTAGGAGAAGGGAAGAAGGGGAAGAGGAAGAGATGGAATAGAGAAGTTATGATGGAGGAAAG